CATATAACTCTGATTCACTTGGCTCAATGTCATACCAACGAACCATTGCAAGGTCATATGGATCCTTTGCTGATCCCTGAAAGAACCTCAGGAAAATCAATATCTTTCTATACCATATATCTTCATCTGATTCATACTGATCTTGATCCTCTGCAGCAGATATTGCTGCATTACTAAACCACTTCTTACCTTGAAAACTGCCAGATGTTTTCAAAATTTCTCTATTTTCCAATTAAACCACATTATAACTTTTTATATAAAAATCTTCGCTATAAGAATCTTGTGAAGATGCATTAAGGAAGGTGTCTAATGCTTGAATTAACTGAGACAAACCTTCAATAAAGTTTGAATGCAGTTGGCTTGAGGCTTTTAAGGAGTTTACTTTTGCTTCAATAGCATCTAGCTTCAATTTCCACAGTACTTTGCCAAATCCTATAGTTTTGTGACAAACCACTTTGCTTATTGTGGAAGTTAACTCCTTATGCTTTACCTTTAAGCATAATATCATTGATTATAATGAAATTGATCTATTTTAAATAGTTTCTCAACTAAAATATTATTAATTTGAGCAGTTGGTCTTTTTTATATAAGACTGGATCTTGCCGTTCTTAAATAAAAAAGACCAATGGCTTTGAATCTATTCTTACCGCATTTATTAACTGTTCCATTACATTTTTTCTATTTGATGATCTGTACGGATTTTTTACATACATCTTATGAAGCGTTTCATAAGTTTTGGTTGACAAGCTGTTTAATGTTCCATATTTACGAATAGTTGGGATTATGTGATATCTCCAACTATGCAGTTTTGAAAACCTGCATTCGGTGCTAGATAATAGTGAGAATATTCTCTTGAATTCACCACACCAGTCAATAATTTGGGCCTATATCAAATTTAAATGTTATTTAAACTTTTATTTAGTTTATTTGACAAACTATTGACACTTGCCTCAAAATGCTGCAGGCTTATTTCGGTAAACGACTCCTGACGACTCATTATATACATTTTACTAAATTTAGCATATAACTTGCAAAGATTATTGCAAGTTATTTGATTCCACTCATCAAAAATGTCATCAAGAGCAAAAAGTGTAACCTTCATTATATGTAGATAATCTGTGGCAGTCATCACTTTTAATTGGCCCACTTTACTAAATAATTTTAAACTGGGAATACGTGGAATTTGACGAAGCCAATTATCAAATTTCCTGTGCAATTTATTCTCTCCAACTTTTTTTAAAATTTCCAGTGTGAAGTCAAATTGATACTTAAACAGACCAAGATCAATATGATGCATGCGGTCGGAAACACATGCTTCATATATATTTAAATTTCTTCAGATTATAGTTTTAATAGGCCTAATAAGTTTTTTTTTCTTTAGAAATTGCAGCAAAAACATCATTATGACCCATTTAAC